AATAATAATAATAATAGAAATGACCAGCGCCCCACATTAGGTAAAGCACTCCAACTGATGAGGAATTCCCCTGGCTAATGCTAACTTGAGAGCTGAAGTGGTTCACAAGGACTAGGTAAAGTAAAGGTTTTCCCCTGACATTAATTCCAGTCGTGTCTGACTCTGGGCGTTGGTGCTCATCTCCATTTCTAAGATGAAGAGCCAGCGTTGTCCGTAGACATTTCCAAGGTCATGTGGCCGGCATGACTGCATGGAGTGCCATTACCTTCCTGCAGAAACGGTACCTATTGATCTACTTACATTTGCATGTTTTGAATCTGCTAGGTTGGCAGAAGCTGGGGCTAACAGTGGAAGCTCACACTGCTCCCCAGATTCGAACCTGTGACCTTTCTGTCAACAAGTTCAGCAGTTTAGTGCTTTAATCCACTGCACCATCGTGGGCTCCATAAGGACTGGGGAAAATCAAATTCAAGTTGCTAAACAACGGTTATATCACCTGCTGTTGTTTAACCTACTGCTTCTTAAACTGTGGGTTCAAACCCCAAAAGGGGTTCCTTTAGCTCAATGTTGGGGTCCTGAAAATTTTGGCAGCAGTAAAAGTATTCTGAATATCATCTAATATGTTAACAATAGTGTGTTAACATATTTACAATGAACTCTGCAGAAAATCTATATACCCAGGGTTAGGTCAAAATGTCACAAACCAAAAGAGGTTGCCAGTGGAAACATTTAAGAAGTCCTGGTCTAACCTGCTATTCAATCAGAAATAGAATTATCGTCGTCGTCGTCGGACTGCTTCAGAAATTCTCCGTGAAGCATCAGAGCATTTATACTGTTATCAATGACAAAACAAGACACTGTCAAATAATTAGGAGACTAGAATTATGCTAATTTTCTAGAAGTGTTAGGCACCTATTTTTTTATTTTATCAGTAGTTCAGTTATTCTGATTGAATGCTATATAAATGGGTTGGAACATTAAAATGTGACGTGTTCTTCCTTTTTTCTTTCTTCCCTTGTCTTTAGGATTATGACTCATTCTTTGAATCCAAGGAGAGCAACACCGTCTTTACATTTCTTGGGTTGAAACCTAGTTTGGCATCAAAGGTGAATATTTCATGATCTGAAGCATAATGAGACGCTGCTTGTCATGTTTGAAGTGCTATCTCTTTCGTAGTAGATGGTGAATTCTGTGATCTGGGGGGTGGGAAGAGAAAATGAAGAAGTGTGAGGTATTCTAGTCAGCATCTTAACCTGAAGTGAGTGGAATAGGTATCTTCATAATTTTTAACCACTTTGGTCCCCATTTAACACAGACCCATCAAATCAGAGACTTAATTAGACTGATTAATTGGGTAAGTGACTGATTTGATGGGTTTGCTTGATCTGGGACCATATCTATGGAGTTTGATATTTATAATGATGACTCGTCTTAACAGGATGCACGATCTAGTTAGGACTAGCAAGAGTCATACCTTGCAATCACTCTGTTTTCCTCACATTTTTGAGGATTTCACTCTTAATAGAGCATCAAGAAGTTGATGCTTTATCACTGGAAAAGGGATCCCTCCTTTCTTATGAAATACATCACATTTTGGATCTATTTAGACTACAGTATGACTCTTGTATCCATGAGGGATATAGTCCCAGGACACTCTGTGGATGCCTGAAGCCATGGGGAATAGCAGAACCTATATTTTGACTACACTTGGGCCAAAAGCATACCATAGAATCACACTGGAGAAGCTAGAGAAGTTCACAAACACTTCTGTGGCTGAGAGAGTATTTTTTTGCAGTATAGGTAAGTGAAACCATTGTTTTTAAATCAGTGGATAAAGAGGTAAGGTAAAGGTAAAGGTTTCTCCTTGATGTGAAGTTTAGTTGTGTCTGACTCTGGGGGCTGGTGCTCATCTCCATTTCTAAGTTGAAGAGCCAGTGTTGTCTGTAGACACCTCCAAGGCCATGTGGCCAGCATGATTGCATGGAGTGCTGTTACCTTCCCGCAGAAGCGGTACCCATTGATCTACTCACATTTGCATTTTTTCAAACTGCTAGGTTGGCAGAAGCTGGGGCTAACAGTGGGAGCTCACTCCGCTCCCCGGATTCAAACTGCTGATCTTTTGGTCAGCAAGTTCAGCAGCTCAACGGTTTAACCCGCTATGCACCAGGAGCTCCTAAGGGGATTATAGTATTATATCCAAATAACACCAGAGAGGCTTTGAAATGTGTCCTTTTAGATTGCTGTTATTTCTGAAGTCATTCCTACTTTATATCAACCTTGAGGCAAGTCTATCGCTGAGTTTTATCAGCAAGATTTGTTTGGAATGGGTTTCCATTTCCTTCCTCTGAAGCTGAGAGAGTGTGGCTTCCCAGGGTCACCAAATAGATTTCCATGGTTGATTAGGGATTTCAACACTAGTCTCCCAGTGCCCTGCTCCAGCACTCAAGACACTATATTGCAATGGTTCGCAACCTGTGGGTCCCCAGATGTTTTGGCCTGCAACTCCCAGAAATCCTTGCCAGTTTACCAGCTCTTAGGATTTCTGGGAGTTGAAGGCCAAAACATCTGGGGACCCACAGGTTGAGAACCACTGCTATACTGCATGACAGAAACTATTTTAAAATGCCTTCAGTTTAGCTTATTGGATTTTGTTTCTGGCTTTTCATATTTTAACTCTTGCCATTAAAAGTTCTTTTAAAATCTTGTGTTATTGCCATAGTTGTATGGGAAACAATTAGCTGTGTGTTTTGATACTCTGCTGTTATAATATTTGGTGGTAGCCACTCGTACAACAGTTTAGAAACTATGCAGGTTACAAAGGGATAACGATATATTTTGTTCCTCCCCCCCCCCCTTTGTTCTTTTTCTAAAATAGGAGTCGGAGCCTTAAGAATATTCCTTGAGGATTCAACAAGCACATTGTCTGGGTAAATGAAATCCTTGATGTTCAGCACACAACACCTTCCCTAGTGGATCACTGTGATACAAGCCAATATGCACCATCAATAGTTTGCTTGACACTGACATGGTGAAATTAAATGGTGGAAACAAATGGGGGTAAATGGTGATGGTGGTGGTGGGTTCTCTTCCTTATTTGCAAACATATCTAAAGTTAAGGTCAGGGACCATTGTTGTAGCAGGTGGTGATATTCCATTGACTTGCATTTTTCAAAACGGCAGCTGAATCTGATAGTACAGGTATGTATTATCAGAGCTTCAGTGGCTCTGAATCAGAGGTGCCACAGACATGACCTTCAATCCAATTAAACTTGAAGATAAGCAGCACCGAGCTGCAAAAATATCAACCCCCCCTTTAAAAAACCTTATCCAAAATCAAGAAAGAAAGAACAGGGTTTCTATTTTTCTGTCCAAAAAATATCTACTAATTGTGCTAAAATGTGCTCATTGCCATTTTTCTCCTTGAAAAATCAAATACAAATCTCACCTCTTATCTGGCTGACATGGTGCTGTAGAGTTTGAAGGCATGGATATCCCTCCAGGACTGAGGAGTTTGCTTTGATTGAAAACTTCTTCATGCAGCTTCAAAGAGAGGATTTGCCACAATACTTTCCACCATATCTCAACTCTAGAAGGGAACAAATGCCAGTGAAGGTCTGTCACTTTGAGCCATTGAGTTGCCAAATTTTATATTTATACATTCAATAGTTATTCTTCTACCTTATAGTAGTAGTGCTGTCAATGGGATTAATGGTAGATCAAAGGATAAAACCTGTAGAGTGCCATGGAATGTAACCAGCGCCCGCAAAAGCACTTAAGCCAGGATTTTAAGCAGGTTAATAGTTCTGTTGCCTTAAAGGGAATGAGGTATGAGGAGTTTTTTTTTTTAACAGAAGACAGAAGCATTATGTTCAGCGTGCAAAATGTGTCACTAACTGGTTGGGCTGGTGTTTTTAGGGTCTTCTTATGGTGAGCCATAATCATCGGTAGTAAAGGTAGCACGTTCTATCTCAGCAGTGCATCTTGGATGCTTATAAATCAGGGACGTGGATCCCTCCAGGTATTGTTAGACTGCAACACAGCCACTACCTTTAGCTATCAAAGCCAATGGTGAATCATTATGGGAGATGCAATCAAGCAATGTTTGGATAGTCTTGTGCCCCCCCCCCTTCCTGTTTTGAGTGAAAAGTGTGAGATTGAACACTAATAATGTCCTGTGCATCTCATCTGGGACATTAGAGAAACCTCCCACAAGGATGGTAATACATCAAAACATCTGGGCATCCCCTAGGCAGCGTCCTTGCAGATGGCCAATTCTCTCACACCAGAAGCGACTTGCAGTTTCTCAAGTCACTCCTGACACAGAAAAAAAAACTCAATTGTAAAGGAAGTCCCATAAAGTCCAGCGAGACTATTTTCAGATGAATGTGTAGATAATTATGGCTTAGTTGTTTTTTAAGTCTTAATTATCATTTGGAGCCCCACTACTGTGCCAGAGCAAAAATATTAGAACCACAAAGGTACACAGGCTCAATTTCTGTTGATTTTGCATCTGTTACGATTGTAGTCTAACATTCTGAGCGCACCCGCAGAACTGAACCTTTGGTATCACTTGGAATGATTTCCTGGGTAGAACTAGTAACACTTGATGCATCAGTTTACATCAATCCTGAACCTTCAAATCCTAAATTGAAACATAGGTGCTCGTGTGTGAAGTTCAAGTTGTATGCTACTGTCCCAAAGAGAAATACCGTATTTCAATGAATCTAAGGTGCTATCAAATGTGCCCCCTTTTGAAGCTTCGATTTCTGAAAAAAATAAAGCAAAACAATTTTCTTGGAATGTTTAAAAAAATTATTCTGCACGAACAACACCTTTTTTTTGTTCTATGCCTCTTTGCAGTGCAATGTTTCCTGTAGGGCAGTGGTTCCCAACCTTTGGTCCTCCAGGTGCTTTGGACTTCAGCTCCCGCAATTCCTAACAGCTGGTAAGATAGCTGGGATTTCTGGGAGTTGAAGTCCAAAACACCTGGAGGACTCAAGATTGGGAACCACTGCTGTAGGGTGAGGAGGGAGTGTGAAAAAGTCATTTTGTCTGCATAAGTCTATTTTCAAATCTATAACCTTGTTAGAGAAGTGGTACTTAACTCAGCCAGACAGTGAAAAGCTGTCTGGCTGAGTCTGAGGACAAAAATTGGGGGGTTTAGCAGAGCCATTGGGGCTGGGGCCCTTCCTCCTTCTCCTCAAGGTAAGACAGTGTTTTTGGTTTTTTAATACTCCCCCTCCCCCACAAAAAAACCCAGTGAATCTGAGGCGCCATTGAATCTAATAATTTTAAAGCCCTTTTAACAAGATTTGATGAAATACAGTAGAGCTAGTTTGTTGTGTTTGAACTGTTGTAGGGAGAGTTGGTCATGTTTAGCTTAAGTCTCATTCATTTCGGCGGAAATTAAGCATAATACAGAACTAAACTACAGATTATATCGTAGAGCAGAAGGATGAGAGTTATGCAGAATTCCAGATGTTGTGGGACTACAAGTCCCATCAATCCTAGCCAACATAGGTAATGCAGAGATATGCTAGGAGTTCAACATTTGGAAGGAGCACATGAGTCTCATCCCTGGTGCTGACTTAAATTGGATTTTGGTTTTCTTACAAGATATTAAAGAGACTGGTATGTGGGTGTTGGGAAATTCTTCCTCTGAATGCAGCGCATAATGAGGAAGACAGGCTGTCATCTTGTCAGGACTTACATGTGCTGAAATGTCATTTTGGACAGGCACAAGAGCTGTTCTGTTGTCATTGCTCTCCGTCCAAAAGCCTTCCATACCCAACAACTGTCAAGCCTCAGGATGGGACTCCCTATTGCTGTTGATTACCAGTGAAGAAAGATGTGGGAACATGAATTGAACCATGGAGGTTTGTTTCCTTCCCAATGGAAAGGAAGACACAGGTGATCTCCTTTGAGAGTGCAATCTCATTTTTATCCATCTCCCATGACCTAGCTGAGACCTGCTCTTTTGTCTGAACTATCTCCTCCTGGGACTTGATAGGTGTGTGGCACTGGGAGGACTTGTAACTGCACATGCAGAGCTATGTGCGTATGCAGTATCTCTTTATTTCTCAACTCTAATCAACACTTGTATCCCCTAAACCAGTGATTCCTAACTTTTTTGACCAGGGACCACTCTCCAACATTAGTACCAAAAGGGTTACAAATGGGTTTTGGCCAACTTTAGCTTTGGTTTGGTTATTTAGGGTGCTGATTCAGAAAATTGCATTGGGTAGACCACACCAGCTCTAGTTTCTGATACAGAACATACAAACCATATTTAATAATCTAGAGCTGATGTGTTCTAGCCAAGGGGAAAGGGTGTGAAAGAAGCAGAAATAAATAAAATAAAATGAAGGAGGCTTGCAGATCAGATGTTCATTCTTGTGGCCCACTGGTGGTCTGCAGCCTACAGGTTAAGAACCACTGACCTAAACAAAGCATTTAGTCAGTGCCCAGGGGGTTGAGGAGCACCCAGTAATATTGAATTTGGCTGCATTCAAAGAAGTAACACACTTTACAACTGTAATGTATTTAAAGTATTTCCGTATCATCTCCCAGTCCACAAGGGCTCCACATTAATTAATTTGAGGGCTGAAAATGGTATAGCTAGATGCTGCTGAGACAGTAAGACTGCCACCAGAGAGTTCTTTTGGACTGGGAGCCAAAAATGTTCCACTTATTGTCTCAACAACATCTACCATTTTCAATGTTTTACTCTGCATTTAATGTGCAACAAACAATATTTGCAAGGATTTCACTTCTTTGGTCATGTGCCCTGTATCGGGGTACAGTTTGGAGCCTCTGGATCCAGGTAACCAAGCAGTTCAAGTTTTAATCTTAATGACACAGCAGAAGAGAAATGGAAGAAAAGCTACCCAGAACGAACCATGAAGAAGCCCTAATAACACAAATGTGTGTAAAAGCGAAATGCAAAAATGAGCCCTGTGGAGGCGGTCTGAACTCAGGGAAGTCCCAAGAGCAGCTCCTTGAAGAAGGAGGGAACAGGATGGCAGGACAAATGTGTTCTTCCAAAAGAGGTGAAAACGGCTTAACAGTCCACTGTGCTATCCACTCCACTGTGCACATACAAATTCTAAAGCATGCTTAAAGTAGCACCTTACATCCTAGCTAATTTTAGTTATGATGATATTTGTGATAAGATACTATATTGTCAAGATGCCTTACATTTTTAATTTTTTGGCAGCAGGAGCATGTTACTAGAATGCAAGATTGAATTAAAAGCTGGCCTGTTCTTATACCTGTGCCAGATTGCTCAACTCACTGGTGATTGCTTCTTGATTTTAAGTGTAAAGTTGAGCTTTTCGTTTTGCATTAAAATTTTTGCAAAGTGCTTGATATTTTTCCATTGTTTTACAGCCTTGTGATTGTTTTTTTTAAAAAATGTAATTATTTCAATGCATCCTTCAGTTCATGTGTCTTAAAATTTAGTCTCCTTTCTTTTGTTCACAAACATCTTATTTAACCAGTTCTTTGACCTTTTGATCTTCCAATGATGTGCTTATGTCAAGAAATAATTAAGCTTATTAGCAAACTATGGTGAGAAACTGTGTTTATATAGCCTTATATACCAATCATTCCTATGTATGTATTGTTCCTGTGGATGTATCATGATTTCTCTCTCTGTTAATCAGCACTGTGGTTAACTTGTACAAGTCAACTGTGATTTATTTATTAATAAAATTATCTCTTGAGTTACTTTTTGGACCAGAAAGTCTTTATTATCATATATAGCCAAAGCAAAGGCAGAAGAAAAGTAATATTAACAATTGAGAACATTATGTTGGTCTTACAGTGAAATTGCATTGTGCAACTAGGGTTTGGAAAGAGTTGCTTAGATTAGGGCTTCTTAAACCTTTTCCACTTGTGTCCAAGAATTTTTCACGTGACTCCAGATATATAGAAACATAAATAACTATAAAAACTAACATTTACTGATAAGAAACCAACATTTGCAAGGCTTACAAAACAGGCTAATTTTCCTTTTTCTGAAATATAGCTAAAGCATCTTCCGCAGAGTTTTACTGCAAACAAATATGTATTTATTTATTTACTTCATTTTTACCCTGCCTTTCTCACCCTGCAGGGACTCAAGGTGGCTTACAAACTCTGGCAAAATTCAATGCCATGTGGACATAACTAAAACACCCCCAAATCAAATAATAAAAACAGGTAAAACATATGAGCAACTAAAACACATTAACAATAAAACAGATTAAAAACCATATAAAGTGCCGAGTCTTGATCTCATACATACCCATAATCATTTTCCAAAATCCATAGTCATTATTCAGGCTGTTGAAGTCTAATTCTGTAATATCCTATTCGTCAAACACCTGCATACAAAGCCAGGTCTTAAGGTTTTTTCTAAAGACCAGAAGGGATGGGCCCTGTTTGATGCCAATAGGGAGGGAGTTCCACAGCCAAAGGGCCACCACAGAGAAGGCCCCATCTCTCGTCCCCACCAGTCGTGCTTGTGAAGAGGGTGGGGCTAAGAGCAGGGCCTTCCCAGCCAATCTTAAAACTCTTGTTGGCACATAAAGGGAGATGCGTTTGGACAAATTTGTGTAAATGTCTAAAATATCCACTAGGTACATTTCAGAATACCTCTGTTGTTGCCAAATGTCTTCAACCCCAACATTGAGCTAAGGGTTTGAGGTCAGGCAGGACTCATAGTTTAATAAGCAGTGGTTTAGCTCAGAGTATGAATGGCTATGCTGGCTAGAGGAGTTCTGAAATGTATAACCCCAAAATATGTTTTGCAAGCACTTTTTGATCTCTTTCTACCTGCACTGTAGCTAAGGACAGTGCAGCACATGTGGAGACAAACAGCAACACCAATGTGTGGCTGTTCTTTTCTCTCACCCACACTGCATAATAAGGCAATATGTGAATGGGAGGCCAACACATCACTCACCAGCTGTTCTTCCACATTTGCGAGTGTGACTTCTTTACTTTTGATTATTTGTGGATTTGATTAAAATGTTCTCTCTAGGAAGCTCTAGACTCCTCAATGTGACTATGGACAACCTTCACCAGAAACTAACCATTGTGTTGCATTGGAAGATCTAAAGCTTCTTAGAAAAAAACAGTTTTATTGGCATTTGTAGGTCCTCCACCGTGATTCTGTGTCCGACTCCCAGCAGAAGGATCTAGAGATTTCTAGAGTGGTATTCTATCAAATAAAGGGGCCCTACATCTCTAACCTCAGTGAATGTGGCCTACTATATATAGTACATTTTAACTGTCTTGGCTGCCTGTTTTGGTGTCTTGCAAGTTGTAGCTTGGTTAGAGGCATTAGGGAGGCATGGGCAAACTTTGGCCCTCTGGGTATTTTGGGCTTCAACTTCCACAATTCCTAACGGCTGGTAAGCTGGCTGGGATTTCTGGGAGTTGAAGCCCAAAACACCTGGAGGGCCGAAGTGTGCCCATGCCTGCATTAGAAGACCTCTCTGTCTGAGAATGTTAAGTTCCCTTAAGTGGCCAATCCCAGGATTTTGTAGCATGGAATATTGTAGTTTAAGTAGAATCAAAATTATATTATCATGAAAGAGTCACAGATTGCAGTGATTGCTGAGTGTCTGTTTAATGCCATAACCCAATTGACTCTGGGTAATGTGTGAACTCATCCTCAAGAGCACCTTGACTGAAGAGAAATTAAAAACCAACCAATGTAATATTTAGATTTCCAAGATTTGGTAATGGGTTTGAAGGCATATTTTTGTAAATTATTATCCCTGTTCCTATTTTAATTTCCTGTCAATTGTTTTTTGAAAGACTGGAGCATAAAAAAAAAAGTTCTACCTTCATGAAACTCTCCTCTTGCTTCCATTATGTCTGTGAACTGCTTATAAATTCCTCCTACAATGTGGTATTCACTTCGATCAAAACCTTTTCCTTGCCCAGGGGGAAACCACTTCTGTAGCTGGAAGAGAAAGTGGTATTTTGGGGAAAGAGGTATTTATAAGAAATTAGTCCTTTCTTATTCAGAGTTAGACAGAACAATGTTGCTCAGCTGGAGCATGAAATTTATGTAAGCCTAAAATATGTGAAGACCTTCATCATTTATTGTGTGTGTGTGTGTTGAAGAACCTTTGTTCTTTCAGGTGTTTTGGACTGCATTTCTTGCAGTCCCTTACCATTGTCCATGCTGACCTAAAGATCAAAAACATCTGGAGGATCAAATACTGCATTGGCGGAGCTCTCAAAGAGAGGCTGTCCACTTTGGATCTTGTTAACACGTCATTAGGATATGCAGCCAAGACTTGCAGAGTCTTCAGGATTTCATACCCTACTACCCTACAAATCTTAGCTCACTCAGGACACTCTGTTCTCATTAGGTTGCCTTGAAGATCCCTATCTCAAGAGGTTCTTCTTCTAAATGGCGTTTTGTATTTTTGCAAATCATGGGAAGCCTTCCAATAGTTTTCTGATCCTTCTCTAGTGGCTCTTAGAATTTTCTTTTCAAAGGAAATGCAGTGCAGGATCTGACTTTTCCATGCTGTTTGTAATAAGCATCCAGTCCCCAAGACTAAGCCTGGCGTTACCACATGGCCTGCTGAGCTTCTACCTGGGAGAGGCAATATGGCTGTCTACTGTGAAAACCTTACTTGTTAAACATTTTGCAAATGGGACCTGCTTTCCTTGTAGAAACCCTTCAAGCAATCTAGGTTCACTGATTTTTCCATCACTTTGTGGTCTGAAGTAAATAACCATGATTGAGGAACAGAGCTTTGAAGGGGTATTGGCAATGCTGGTGGAGGGACGCATGATGCATGCATGTCCTTCATTGAGTGACTGCAGCTGAATTGACATAAGGGCTACATCTCAGCCTCACTGTGTAATATCCCTGCCCTGATGTGACCCCTTTACTGCCGCACCCACCTTTAATCCAAACTGAAATCAGATTGGAAAACTACACAGGACCCGCATAGTGTGTTTATACTGTGTATATATCTTTGCTACATTAGTTTACATCTGGTGACAACAAATATAGCAGCTGGTTGTATGTTAATGTTTTATTCCTGCAACACATGTGCATATATGCAAATCCACTTAATCAAATAGTATTTATTTTCTCCTCATTCTGACTGCCCACTTACATTTCTATAAAGTGAGGCTGTTAGAAAAGGAGGAGGCTGATCTAGGTGAAGACCTGAGTGAGCTGACCCCCTACTAAAATGGCCCACTTCCACCCCACCATGAGCATAATTCAGACATCAAATCATGTATTTTCAAAGTTTCTTCCCCAAAACTGCAGAACAAAACTGGTATTTTTTAAAAAAAGACTGTCACCTGAAAGCCCCAGGCATCCCAAGAAGTTTTTTCACATCAGAAGGAGAGGAACAATATGTGTTCCAGCAGAGCTGAGATGGAGATAAGGTGCCTTATTGAGCCTGTGTAAATCCATCCCTCATTGCAAACTAGTGAGTCGTAATTGTGAAAGAGCCACTATAAGGCACCCACCTCAGGCTGAGGGCAGGCACAAATTGATGTTGTCTTAGATGCAATGATTTTCTATGTGGGCAGTTTGCCTGTTCTGTGAGTTGCCAAATGTTGAGTAAATTCTTTGAGTTGCCAAATGTTGAATAAACAAGTGTGATACATACAGGCCTGACTTAGAATCATAGAATCATAGATCTGGAAGAGATCTCATGGACCATCCAGTCCAACCTCCTGCCATGCAGGAAAAGCACAATCAAAGTACCCCTGACAGATGGCCATCCAGCCTTTGTTTAACAGCTTCCGAAGAAGGAGCTTCCACCACACACCAAGGCAGTGAGTTACACTGTTGAACAGTTCTTATTGTCAGGAAGTTTTTCCTAATGTTCGAGTGGAATCTCCCTTCCTGTAATATGAACCCATTGCTCCGAGTCTGCTCCCTCTTCCTCATGACATCCTTTCAAATATTTATCCATGGCTATCATGACTTATTTGGATGAATCTTATCCCTTCCCCTGTAATAGTTGTCTCTCATTTTAGTATTATGTTCTTTTTGATAAATTTGCGGTTGCAGAAGATGACTGATATGTGCGCCACAGGATTTGTCTACATAGCATTGTCTTAGTTCTGAGCTCAAGGCACCAACTCAGATGTTTGAGAGACATAAAAGGGAAATGTTGTGTGGGCCTGGAAAAACCCAGCCTTTGTCAATGGATAGCCACCTGGGTTTGTACAGACACTGCCACATTCATTGGTTCCATTGTATTATCTTTTTGAAGCTGCTTTGGCGGTCGACTGCTGCAGCTGCATCTCGGGACATAATGTCTGGTTTGCAGGAACCCACTGTACTGAGGGCTTTTGATCCTTGGGTGTAATAATAACCACGCAAGAGCACCTTGTGGCACTGTAGTTTTTTATTCTTTCTAGCAGTTGTATCTCAGGAAGACATTCATCAGATCCAGTGTCTTCTCTCTTGGTGCTGAAATGATGGGAAAACCAGCTATTCTCATGCTTTCATAGACCATTCAGCCATTACAGAAGACTAGGATTTGTATTTAATATTAGATTGCTCAACTCTTCCTGCCAGCAGAACCCTTTTCTTTATTGCAATTTGCCTGGAAGGAGACAGCTGAAACATCTCTCCACTACAAATCATCTTAAGTAGGAAGACAGCAGCCTTCCCAAGAATCTAGTCTTCTCTTCCCATGGCCCATGTCTTTTGCATGTAAAGATGGTAAGGTTTGTTCAGAGGAGGT